CGCGCTTGTTGAGAGTCCAGTCTATAGTTCTGGAAGAGATTGACGGGAAGCAGCCGGTATCATGAATAAGATGCTCAAGATTAACTCTACTACTCGGTCATCGTAGGCGCACCAACTTTGCGTCAATTTTTCAATATTTCTATCAGTTGTTCTTTGTACAGCAACCACATCTATAAGTGTCTTTTTGTTTTATTGTCTTTTGTCTAAAGTTCTGTCAGTGATGAGTTTTTGGTTAAATTACCCTTTAATCAATGCCTGGATTTCCTTTCTATAGAAATACTGTGCTTTTTCCACATATTCGTCCATAAACTTTGATATTAACTACAACATTTCAAATTGCCACAAAACTGTCATTCTTTTATACAGGTGAAAGCGCGCGCTCCATTAACTTCAAGTTCCACTTCAAATTCATAAGAGATTTTATAATGCCTTCTAATTTAGCGTTCTTTAAATTKAGAACTCTTTTGTCTTATAAATACAGATCCACATGCCATTCCGTCTCTGCTTTCTGAAGCTGAAGTTGTATTCGTCATGGATACCTCAGACGGTCCAAGAGGTTCCGAATTTGAACTTCAAAAATCATTCGCTACATCTCTGACTCGTTTCTTTGATCTTGGGCCCAATAAAGTTCATGTTGCCATTGTTTCAAGTGGACATRCTACAAAAGTAATAAAACACTTGTCGCCTTACGTCACACACTCTGACTTTCAAAGCTATATGAAAMGCCTAAGCCAGCAAGGTCGYGGTCGTAACTTAGACAAAGTTTTTCAGACTGTTGAAGAAGACATTTTAAGCTCAGGAAGAAGAAATGTTCCACGTATTGTGATTATCTTCTCGTTTGGACTTCCATCTTCAAGTGTATGGAATCTTCTAACTGCTGTTCGAGGGCTTCACAGTCGAGGAGTAATGGTGTTTACGATTGGAATTGATGTGCAAGAGGATGAGCCRCAACTCCGTGCACTTGTCAGTCGACCGCAGGACCTGTTCACCTTTCGAAATKCTCGAGAATTGGAAAATGCCGGTGGTGTCTTTGCTAGTTATATTRAAGGCCGTTCAGGTAATGACCATGGAAAAGGACTGGAATCTTCCGCAATCTTTACGTCTKAAGTCTGATACCWTCTTATCTGTCTTCTTTTCAAAGAAAAATTCCTTTCGCCCACAATCCCCGAAAATTAATAAAAATACCCGACAATAATGGGATTATCCATGACGTCTGTCATTACACATGACATTTGGATAAAGATGTCATAATTACATTCCATATTAGACACACTAGTGACCACCAATCAATCAGCCTTGGTGAAAGGCCACTTCTTGTCWATATTTCTAGACTCTCCCTCTCGTCCCTTGATCCAAAGATGCTCATGTCATCATTATCTTAATCATCTTCGAGACTGTGCATCTGGCTGTCATAATCCTCTCTCGGAGACTAGGATTATGGAAGGGATGCAGTTGTTGAAATTTAGGTTAATGTCAAGAATTTTCATCTTCTTCGGTTKCCATTAGTATCCGTGCACTTTTCAAATTTCCTCTTTATATCTGAATTCTTTTTATATTTCATCTTTCCAACTACAAATAGTTTTCATTTTACCATTTGACCTTTCTTTCACAATCAATTCTAAAATGTTCTATTTTATTCTCTTTCATGTACAAACAAACAGAGAATGTTGTTCCTGAATATTTCGCTGCGGATATAATCTTTCTTGTTGACTCTTCCAATTCTGTTGGTCGTCAAAACCTCACAAAAGTCCAGAAATTTATTCTTTCCATGGCAAGAGCTCTCAATGTTGGTCCAAAGAAAAGTCGTGTTAGCATTATTACTTTCGGAGACGTCGTTGCGGAAATAACAGCCAATTTTGGCTCATTGAGGTCCATAAACAGCATTGACGATGCACTCGAAAAGATGATTTATTTGGGAGGAGATTCAAACATTGGCAGAGCTCTAGAGAAAATTCCAGAAATTCTAGACAAAGCAAGATCAGATGTCAGAAAAGTTGCACTGATGGTTACAGATCGGCACCATATTATGGATGATGTAAATCTGAAGGAAGTAATGCTACCGCTYTCTAAGAGRGRTCTTGAAATGTATGCTCTAGTAGTTGGAGGAGGTCAAGTGGGAGTGCGAAGATTACATGGCTTGGCGTCTAGACCTACGGACGTCTTTTCAGCTTATAATTATGATATTTTGCAAAGTCGTGTTGCACCAATTGCCAAGTATATTGTCAATGGTAAGAATGACTGGCATGCTAGGAACGCATTCGGTTTTTATCCATCAATACTTTGCGATTCTTTAAGGCTTTTAGGCTTATTTCATAGAAAGTTTGCTTCACTGTGACAGAATGAGGCAGTTAACCCAAATCTGRGTTTGGAAGGTTTTGAATTTCAAATCAGAGTTTGAAGTGGAATTTGTGATCTCAAACAATACCCCAACCTAACGATTAACTTTTATCCCTTTATTTTGAAGGTCCCCCACCAACTACGGTAGGCCCAACCACTACAGCTCTACCAMCCACCACAACATCAGCGCCCAYAACTGYTGARCTTCAAACCACAACAGAAGACGAGGTCACGAMTGAGGTTCCCACTACGRTTCCTACAACAAATGTACCTACATCAACTGAAARCCCTACTACAACAACCAYACCAGATGAAACAACAACAATTGAAGTCCCTACTACTCACTATGTTGCCGCAGGTTAGTTGATAGTTGAATACAGAACGTCGGGAGACATTCGGTTGCGTCTAGTTTTCTTTCTATCTCTGCTGGATTCGATGCTGAATGTTAATCCAATTGTAGTCGTATCTAAATGTGAATAGTGGTAGTCTTTGGCTTTCGGAATTCATTGTGATAATTCGGAACAACTTTTGAAGAGCAACCACCAAAGAGTACCAAGGGCGGATCCAGCTGAAATTTTAAGGGGGGGGGGGGGCTAAATGGTTTTAGTAGGGGTCTAAATGGGCTTTATTTGTTATAAACAACATTGAAAATAATAAAAATCAATTTACTTTTTCCGTGCTCAGAGGAGGGCTACAGCCCCCATTTGCCCCTCCCTGGATCCGCCCTTGAGTACTCAAAACTGATTGGTGATTGAATCACCAATGAATAATATCCCTTTAATTGTTAAAATAGGAAATAGACCTACCACTCCAAAGCGCTACAATAAACCAGGTATGTGCCCCTATGTTTCTCGATCTGACATTTGTTTGTCAATCCTGTGCTTCGAGGATCTCGAATGCCAAGGCATACAAAAGTGCTGTTCTGGTTGCTGCGTTAAACCACAAGCCAGTGTTGCGAACGGTGAGTTCACAAGCACGAAATCTCTCTGAATTTTKTAAGAGAGCATTTGCATGTGGCTCTTCATAAATCTTTGTTTAAGTAAATAGATTTTGCATGAATTCTAATAAATAACTTGACAGAGCTCAGGCCTAAATATCGGTTTCACCATTTTACTCTTGAAGATTGACAGTTTTTAATTGTCATCCAGAAGTATCATACTCAAAATTTGTGTGAATATTTTGTAATTGCATTGGCATTTCAATTTTCGCACAATCAAAATGGGGCATAGTACACTTGTTCACACCATCTACGGAACTTCGTTTATTCACCATGTGTAGGTTAAAAAATTATGGCTTATATATTGATTGGCATCGAAAAATTTACAAGGGTACGCGAAAAATTGATATTTGTAGACTTCAGCCATGGCTAGCATAAAGGGACTTGAGATGGACCACACCCACTSTCAGACTGTGTATTAGGTTAATTGTCTGTCTGATTTATGTTCAATTAAATTAATGTACAATTGAATTTATCTCCTACGTAATGATAATCATAATGATGAGTACCACCTGAAATAAATTCATATAAATRGAATTAAAAAGAAGAGAAAATGAAAACTCTTAAAGCCCTTATCCCTGACGTGGTAGAATCAGATATATCATTACTTAATTTCTGCTTTGTGAATTTCAGCACCAGCTAAAGGTCAACCGAAGCCAGGCATYTGCCCAATGGTTTCTCGTCTTGGTATTCAGTGTCCATCTACTGATCAATGTGGGGTCGACCAGGACTGCGCAGGCAACAAGAAATGTTGCTCTCATTACTGTAGAAGGAAAGTTTGCGTTGAACCTCCATCCAAAGAAGAAGAAGAAAGATTAAGTAAGGAATTATTATATCGSCAGTACTTGGTTGACCCTTTGTTTTTTTTATGTTCTTGAGGAATATTTTATTATTCCTTTTGATGTTTGTCCAAAAATGGGAGATTCTAAGAAATTGAAAGTAATTRGATTTGAATGGGACTTTCATGAAAATAAATTAAAATCTAATAGAAAGACTTTAACTGTCTTTAATTCGCATTCACTCTACCTTCATTTAGCTTTCATTTAGTAAATTTCAAACTCGGGAAAAAAAGAAATGTACATTAAAATATTAGATCTCAGGGATATCCTAAAGTTATAAAATAGTTGTTTTATTCGTCTAAACGAAAAAAAATATATCATTTTTATTTATTTTCAATATCATTTAGTGAGTCGTTTGCATCGCCCTGGAAAATGCCGCAAATTAAAAAGACCCATYGTTTGTCAGAAGAAGACGAATGTTGAATGCAACTATGACGTTGATTGTATAAACCCAACTCACAAGTGTTGTAGTGATGGCTGTCATAGGCGATGTGTGSACGCAGTAAGCCCAGGACCCGTCTTACCTGTTGACCCACCAAAACCTAATCCAGTTAGACCAGGTAATGATATTTCAGAATGGACTTGTCACGTAGCCTAACAATAAATTCGAGGCTGCTTAATTAACGCGKCTTGAGCTTGAAAATTGCTTGTTTGATGGATAGATTATTTAAAGGCTGCATTTAGATTTGAATGGCCATAATTGATAGTAGAATTCAAAGTATAAGGAAAACCTACGACGAAACCATTAATGAAATGGTCATCTTATTATTGTTTAGGCAATATTTTAGGGCGTTGTCCACCATACTCACCGGATCGTAACTGCCCAAAACTCGTYCAGGACGACTGTACTTGTTCGTCAGACTGCGGCTCAGGATACAAATGTTGTTCTGATGGATGCAAAAGAATTTGTAGAAGACCAGCAGGTAATAATCCTTTTTTCTAAACTTTAATCTGCTCATTTTTGACTGTATATAGTGAGAAGTTCCCCCTCGTACACCTCCCAACGCCAGTGGACTGGTAAATTGTTGGTTTTGGCGTTGATCGTTGTATTGATATTTATTACGTTGTCTGGTTAAGTTGGCAGGGTTCTTGCTACTATAATCTTGGGCAAAACCCTTGGGAAGGGTCAATTTAGATGGTATTGCCTAGTTTACTCTCGACACTGGAAACCACTCCCAGTTCCCCTGATACATTCTTGTCCACAAACCGACAACAAACCGTCATCTACACAATTACAACATTGAAAGGGGGAGAAGGGAGATATATGGACGAACAAGGGCAGTTATGAAAAGCGTGGATGAACAACCCAAACCCATGCGAACATCCCAGGATCTTTTGTCCAAGATTGTAGCTCGTTGAAATCATTGAAAAGTCCTGGAATTGAAAACTCGAACGGCCTTCAAAATAGGAAAACCTCGAAAAAAATTTCCTTGAATCTGTTGCAGTCTACATGTAGTTTTGAACATTTTATTGAAATGAGGAAATTTTCCAAAAATTATAGTTGAAAAAAGGTTTAAAATTAGCATGAATCTAGTTGAGCTGGTTGTATGTGTTGGTCGTCAATGCTGTTTTTGGTTAGTGGTTAATTGATTCAGTTTTTCACCTGAAGTTGTGGTGGATTCGTTGTATTTGTTGTTAGGTTGAGTAACTGTTTGGTTACGTTCATTAGTCTTCATATGTTTTGTTGGTTAGTTGCATTGGTTGGTTTTGGTGTTGGCTAGTAGGATACAGACGTTGGTCGGGTTCAGGATGATTGGTTTTGTTGGTAGTGCTATTGGTCATTCACTTGTAATGCATGGTTTGTAGTTGGTTGGCTGGTAAGAATTGTCTTTTGATTCACATATGACCATCATTAACTCAAAGTAAACCGCATTTTTCGACAGGAAACGAGTGCACAGCTCAACTTGATATTGTGTATCTAATGGAYACATCTGGCAGCATCAGCTTGAGTGATTATGACCGGGAAAAACAGTTCGTAAAGGACCTGGCACGTATATTCCGAGTCGCTGATGACGGTAGCCAAGCTGCAGTTACCATCTATAACGACGACCCCCACGAAGTGATCAAACTCGGCGATCATTCGTCCCCAGAAGAATTTTCGAAAGCAATTGATGACATCAAATACTTGCACGGGAGAACGAGAATTGACAAAGCCCTGAAATCAGCGCTAGAGTAAGTGTAACCTGTACGTTTTAGCAATAATTTGATGACATGTTGCTAAATTTTATGAAAATTCAACAAGGTGTCACTGGTCTGGTTTAAGGTCGATCACTGCAGTTGTTTTTTAACCATATCTTTCATTAACCTTTAAGTATTTATAGCCTGAACATACAGCTTCGTACTTGATTTTTGGAAGGAGTAAATATTGCTGATACCTGATCTTATATGCACCATTGCTAACCTTGCAACTGTCATCTTGTCGTTGAATGCAAAAGTTGTACATGTTGTCTATAAAGAAAGCGTCACCATTGTGCGATGCTACTAATTGAATTACTCATATCTTATTTGAATTCGTGTCCTAGAACCTTCCAAGATGCGAGACCCAATATTCGAAAAGTGTTAGTACTTCTGACTGACGGCCGTCAAACGCAAGATCCTGACAGCGTTCCGCTAAATCTTGCCAGTCAGCCTCTGAAAGATATGGGAGTCAAGATCTATGCGGTTGGTGTTGGCCAAAAGATTGACAAAGAAGAACTTGAAAATATCACRGGGAACCCAGCTGACGTTTTCACGGTGGATTCTTTTACTGCCTTGCTTGGTGAATCCCAGACAATTGCAGCCAAAGCTTGCGGCGATGTTATCGGTAAMGTGTAATGTTATTAGTAACAATTCATCATGAACTATTAGTAGTGTGGTATAGTCTAATTGATTGAAGAAAGGACTACTTTCTTAGAAAATTTATTATTAATTTATAGATCACTATTGCGTAAAATTTTCAACGCTGATGTTTTATTCATCAGTATTGTATCATATCTACATTAGTAGAACACTAAGAAAGACATCGTACTGAGCAAAGTACCTTGAGAGCACAGTAATACAGCTATTAAAGAAAAACATGTCTGAGAGAACGGCGTATGCACGACCGAAAGTTGCTATGGGTATCGATTATTGATTGTATATATTCACTCTATAAAAACTTCTATACCATAGTTTAGTCCATTTAATAAATATATTTAATTGTAATTTTGTTTGGCTTGTCCGCCGTGTTTTTCAGGAGATGAGTGAATATTATGTATCCCAAAGTAACTTTAGTTGTGCAATAGACGTTCAACTCTGATGATAACCTTATGTACATAATGCAGAAGCAGTCTTTTTCCTTGCAGAAGTGYATGGTATATATGTCACTCACYACTCTCCATTCTTCTYTATTAGGAAAAATCTGCATCCGAGGGGTTGATCTTGGCTTCATTGTGGACTCATCGGAAAGTATTACAGATGATGATTTTATTAAGGAAAAAAAMGCTATCAAAGCCATAAGTGATGAGTTTGTCATAGCACCGAAAAGCACCCGCGTTGGTGTCGTGGTGTACAGTAACCAACCTCAAATAAACATTGACTTCGATCAATATACATCCAACTCGGACTTCAACCGTGCTGTGAATACTCTTCCTCACTTGCAAAGTCATACACGGCTAGACATGGCGYTGCGTTAYGCTGCRAGTAAACTTTATAATAARCGCCGTCAAGCCAACCCTGCTATTGCCATAGTTATGACAGATGGTAAACAGACTCCTGGTGCAGAATCCCTTTCTACTGCAGTAAAACCTTTGCGTGACCTTGGAGTACGTATCTTTGCGGTAGCCGTTGGMCCAAGGGCTTCTCAGAAGGAAATGAGGGAGATAGTTCAGAGCTATGATGATGTATTTACTGTTGATTCGTTCAGTCAGCTAATTAAGGAAGCTAAAAAGATTACAGAGAGGGCTTGTCCTGCTCCAAGTGAAAGTAAGTATGAATTTATACTAGCCTTATTTTTGCGTAATTATCATCGTTAGTTTTGTTTATCTATTTATTATCTACTTCATCTATTTATCTGTTTATTTGACCATTTTCCCGATCTTCATTCAATAGCAAAACTTCCAATTACTGAATCGCCAACGACAGCATTAACGACTCCATCTGCATCCCCATCTCCATCTCCATCTCCATCTCCATCTGCAAAACCAGACACATTAACAAACCCTTGCTCCTACTTCCTGGACATAATCTTTGTCTTGGACTCGTCAAGAAGCATGGACGTACGACAATATGTAAAACAAAAGGAGTTCGTCAAAAAACTGGCAAGAATTTTCAATGTTGGGAAGGGCAGCCGGGCAGCAGCTATCATYTACAGTGATGACCCTATTTTGAGCATCGACTTTGACTTGTTTAACACCCAGGAAGGCTTTCTTGATGGAGTCGATAAGCTGCCATATATCATGCAAAGAACACGTATYGACAAAGCTCTCAAAATGGCYTCTGAAGTTCTTAAGGATTCAAGACCAGGTTTTCCCAAGGCTGTWATCATCATGACAGATGGTAGACAGACAAGAGATCCAGACTACACACCATTAGATACAGCTGCAGCKCCACTTCATCGAGAAGGAGCTCGAGTCTTAGTGGTTGGTATTGGGCCAGCAATCAGTGTCGAYGAACTGGGGAAAATGGTCAAAAATAATAAAACTGACATTTTTACTGTCAAGTCATTTGATGGCCTGGTGAACGCTACAAGTGATGTTGCAATTAAGTCTTGTCAAGGTATAATTGCTGACTGGCATAATTGTATGACTTGCAATGCTTTGTCTATCTCATTTGCAATAAAATACGTCCAGAGAGTCTTCTCACGGCATATCTTCAACAGATTTATCCTAACTAACTATATATTTTTTCAGCCCCTCCGAAAGTTCTGGATTCCTGTCCGGATACTTTTGATCTTGCATTTGTAATGGATTCATCTGGCAGCATGCAGATCTCTAGTTATAACAAAGAAAAGCGTTTTGTTAAAAATATCGCTGGTCGTTTCGCAGTCGGTCCAAATAAGGTGGCACTTGGTCTCCTCACATTCAGTGATTGGCCTAGTACCCTTGTAGAATTTGGATCGTCGTCAAGTATGTCTATCGATCTATTTAATGTGGCTGTAGACGGTGCAAAGTATCTCGARGGACGAACTCGGATTGACAGGTAAAAATACRGAGATCTCCCTTAATACCCATTATGACTGACTGACTTAGATCCTTGAGAATACYCGGTATACACCTCAGTGTGGCACATTKAGGCGGTTGCAAAGACTTCCTATACTAGGAACACTGCACACTGCACAAACCAAAATGATTGAACCTTTATTTGCTGATTGGTTTATGTACATTATTCGCTTTAGAGCTCTTAAGGCAGCCTCAGATCTGTTCAAACTTGGACGCTCTAACGTTACCAAGGTAATGGTGTTCTTGACAGACGGCAGACAGTCATCCGATCCTGGTTTCATTCCTATWGAAACCGCTATGAAGTCATTAATTGAAGAAAACGTCCAAATCATCGTTGTTGGYATTGGTAAAAATATCGATACCAAACAGCTTTACACTTTAGCAAGTCAGAAAGGTCGAGATGTCACTCAAGTTAGCTCGTTTGACGATTTGGAGAAGTTGAAGAACTCYTTTGCGCAAACTATATGCCGTAAAATTGGTAAGAACTTTGATAATATACAGCACTTTCATWCTCGTTCAATTAAGATTATCCATGYATKTGARAAGTTGCAATCTTGGACACAAATGTTGAGTATATATACACAGTTAAGTGAGACTCACCAGAACGCGGACTACAACCCTCCCTCATCCCCCAAAACAATGTTTTTAGCAAGCACGCATGTGTGTGTACTCTGAAACRCAACTTAAAGCGAAGGGTAGGTAAGAAAATAGGAACAGCGATACAGAAATTGTTGAGTCTACACTTTTCATCAAGGGTTGTTTGTCAAACTCTTGCTCGGCTATGCCTAGTTTTTTTCTGGGCTTTTGCTCGACGATTTAATGCGCTCAATAAGCATGCTCGTTTACTGGTGTAGTTTATAATGAGTCTTTACAGTGTTGATAGTGTGATAGTATGTCTTTGAGTAGAATGCAACTTTCAGAAAGGAAAAAGCAATATTAAACAATGTTGGAAAGAAAGTGAAGCTAAGACAAAATTTTCCCATCCAGAATCGAAATTCCTTATCAATCAATATGCGAGCTGCACGAGCGACATATACCGCCTTGAGCAAGCTGATTACATATTTTTCTGTTTTCAGAGGAAGTCATTCAGAGTGGATCAGCTTAGAAAGAAATGAGATGAAAACGTTTCGACAATAATTATTTAGCTTATTTACAATTGTGGCAGAGCAGAAAAACTAATTTCGTATAGAGTAACCTTTATAAGTATATAACATCGACATCTTACATAGACCCCCCTGCTGTTAAGTTCATTCACTGTATAACAAAAAGGGACTTCGTKAATAGATATGAAAAGCATTTTTGTCTTTTCTTTCTTGCCTCGGTACTTTTTCTAACCCTGACTGGAGCCACGAACRGAAGAAATCACAGAGATGAAAGAAAATGAGGCTATATAATACGAATTTTTGGATAGCAACTCGGTCGTAGAAGTCACGTAGAAGTTCTGCATTAGAAAAATAAATGAGATAATCATTATACTTATGAATATAAGAAGGAAATGTACTCACTACTCTGTGGTTTCTTTTTGAAACAACTTATGTTATCATCCTGATTCTCAATCAATTGAATTKGAAAATTTAGAACAAATTTTATAGTTTCCAGGACCATAGCCAGGGGGCTGTACAGGTTGCACGGACAAWCCCCAATGTAAGCAGAGGTTCACAAAGCAGATGGTCGGTTGTACACCTCGCACTTTTTCATGACCACCAAAGCAGTCCTCACAAGCCGTTTTTGCTTTTTCTCTGTAGACATAGATGAAGTTATGCTTTTTTGCCCTATAAAAATTGCGAGGACTACAATTCCCATRATACTTTATTGTACAAAATGGCGCCGTCGCTGCACATTGCACTATTAAARTTTTAAAGGAAGGGCATATTTTTAGTGTTATCTATCTCTGGGYATCTACATCCTATAATCCCAAAATAATTTCGTGTGCTTCCGGCACAACATACACTGAATTAAAATGCAACTTGATTACAGCAGCTTTTGAAGAATGTCACAATATTTGAGGGCAGTTTTCGTTTCTATAGTTCTGTAATAAATAAAGTTACTGTCCTCTTTTCACATACATTTCTTTCTAAATATCATGCAATAAAAAATGTAKTGCTAGTTTTCAGTCAACGCCATGGCGACTAATTAGTTGTTCGTTCATATGAAAGTGTCGGTCAAAGTATGGAATTGATTTRAAACCAGCAATTTATTTTTGTTTCAAAATTGGAAAAAATAAATAAATAAATAAATGAATAAAATTTATAGTGAGCCAATAGGAATTATATACATATTACATATCTTGCAATGCTGATTATTTTTCTACCGAGGGATTAATTGATAATCTTTAGATCTTTGCTGCTCGACTTAGAATGTAGAATTTTTATCAGCAACAGGAAGATGGAGTTAATTATATACATATAACTAGTTTTTCAAAAATATTAAATAAAGTTTTGTTAAAAAATCTAATCCATTTATTATTATGATGCCGACTGGACGGCACTCCATCCACGGAATTTTAAAAATTATTTTTCTACTAATTATGTCATGATAATTAGTTAATGACATTTACATGCATATTGCATTTATTTATTTATTTTTATTTTGTTTATTTATTTATTTTTTTTTTTTTCAATCTTGTTATATATMTCCGCTTTGACTCTTAATTACCTAAGAGATGCAATGGGTCAGGATTTGTTTGGATTGCACTCGACCAAATTTGCCTCGAATGTCTGAAAGTAAGAGTTCATATCTTAAAAAGATCCCTACTATTTTCATAGCCTCCTAACCGACTATACACGCAAGCAGTGATTCTTATTACGTCATTCATTAGTTTCTCCAGAAGTATAGTATGACGAATTGTTGGGAATATCTTCTTGACATGATTTTCGACTATATTTAGTTCTTATATTGGCGAAACACTGTCCAGTTCTAATCTCAGTTCTAATCTGGAGTCGGCCTGGTGCCTCGARAGCCACACCCAATCACAATCATTTGAGMAATTAATCTACAAGTGGGACAAATTCTGCATTGAAAGGCACGGAAAAAGTAGCYTACCCAACSTTACGTGGAATTTCAAAAGCGTTTTCCGGGTGAAATTAGTGCTTAMCAGTCAGTTACGTAACTCGTGTTGCGCTAGTATATGTCTCGACATCATGAATTTCAAAACTGTTACAGTCAATACTGACATCAGTGATGTAAACAGGCTACGATACTTCAATCTTACAAACAATCGAAACTGTGTACGTGTTTTTACTAGGTCCAAACCCATTGCACACTTCACTGACATGATATCCCATGCAAAGGAACGTAATTATAAAAACACAATAGTAAACCACGTGGTGTACTTTCAGCAGGCCTGAACCATCAATGTCCTCTTCCAATCGTAATGTTTTGTGCACTGCTTTCTCGATCTAACAAAATGAAAGATACATGTGATGTGCTCCGTGAGAAATGCCAGCATAGATTGATAGGGAAGGGATGGTCAGTCGAAATAATTTGCTCTTTTATATCTTTCATCTTTCATTTCGAGAATACGTCATTGTAAATTCGAAAGTAGTATTTTGATAGCTAAATTATTCCTATTCAATAGTCAATAAGTAACTTCTTATTCAGTACTTATAATACCATACATTCAAGATGTCTTGGTCAATGTCATAGTTAGTTCTAAYAATGTGGGGTTAGGTATGAATCTTAACATCACAACAATGGCGCTGGACGTCATGAAAACTAAGACCTGATCGAAACTCATCGCAACTTCACAAAACAAGGGACAGAAGCTGAAAGAGCCAGTAAACATGACGCCGTTCGCAACAGCAAAACTGAAATATGCCAGCTATAAATAAAGGTCAAACAACCAATCGTTTTACAGACTCTAATGGAACTCCAGCGCTAGCTCACGTGATGAAAACAGATAAGTCTGACGAAACTCAAACTGATTTGCATTAAAGATCTCGCTTTCTACGTCTTCAAAATCATTTGCGTTTTGATGAGTGTGCCTAAGTTAAAAGKTTTAGGAGAAGCATGAAGATGTTGAACACGGCTGGTAATGTAAGTATCAGCAAACAACAAACTGACCCTTTCCCCCCCTCCAGAATGAACACAGGAAACCCATAGTGTAGATTTTAGATTTTCTCGGTGTCTTCATAAGTTTATACTACGAAGTTGAAATAAGTTTGACTTATATAAGCCATTGTCAATTTACGATATCTGAGTACATTATTATGGAGATTAAAATAAGCACGCCTTCGTTAAACCACAGGAATCCCGTGACTATAACGGGTTTTGTCACGCTCGGTGTTTTGTACAGCAGTTTATATATAGTCATAACAGCATTCAAGTTATATGTATTCATGATTTAWTTTATCCAAGAATGCCCAAAAATGCCTTACTAATCTTCAAGTSAAGAGACAAGCCCACAGCACTCTATGACGTCATTTCCGATACCAATAATTTTTGTCTGAAAATTCCACGGCCATAAACTATATTACTGTACATTCAATATAAATATCTACGTGTACTTCCTCATAAAAGATAAATCTCTTTACAGACGRATCAAATTTCGTTTTGTCAGATAGCCGATGACACGCYGACGAAGCTTCAAAGTTCGTAGTAAGAGCAAATTATCCGATTACTCTCCGACAATTTCACGAATAAGCACGACGAAGCCTAACAAAGCGTTCATAGCGGCAAGTRGAATCGGTTATCCAGCAAGGTGAGTGTTATATTACGGTTTCTTGTAAACGTTATCTATTGTTTTATTGTGATTTAAGTAGTCTTGCTTGTTGTAATAGTATGTATTTTGTATTTCTTGTTGGTTGTGTCCAAAATATGAAGCTAAATAGAGAGCATAAAGCAGGTCAAAGTGAAGGTTGAGGTCGGTATTGCAATTCGAGCCGAAGTCTTTACCGCTCGAGTGCCCTGTACTTCGGGAAAGATTCGTTAGCATTCATGAATAGGGTACTGCTGAACAAACTGCCCGTGTACACAAGTTTTGGATTCTTTCCGGTGGATTTGTTTTCGTTTTTAACGCTGTTTACTAGAGTTGTGTACTTCTGAATTACTTGAATTTCGAACACCGTGTGGAACAATTGATCGAAGCCTCGCTTTGAGTACATTTCGACCACAAGCCGTTCAGTCATCAATATTTTGGGCCTGTATTCTTCGTTGATTTTGTTTACTATTTGACCTCTAAAGACGTTAGGTATATTCTACAGTGTTGTGTTACACAGTTTCAGTATTTCTCAKGCTATCTACGAGGAATATTGCTCTAGATGTCATGTAAATTGGTCTGAGCCAAGATTACGGGATCCCACATCATACCAAGTGACATTTTACAGTGAAAAGAACGACATTCTTGCCTCACTTAACACCTAAACCACGTATTTATGAACGGAAAAGTGATCGACTCTTGAATCACCACCAAAAGTATTCATTCTAGAACGTTTCAAGGTCGTACAATGAACCAAAACTTCAGGTTTCAGAAGCAGAGGTGKCGCAAATGAAACCGAATCTTCCTCAAAGGTTGATATGTATGCATTGGCGAATGTGTGACTTGGCATACTTCAAGAACGTGTCTTTTTAAAATCTATGGGTCACTGAGTACATCAGAAAATTTAATCATTTCTTCACGAATAATACGGTGTAACCAAGTTTRAGGTATTTGGTTTATATTCATGCTTCAACACCGGAAATCGCCACCGAGTTTCAGTCGCGAACATCGACATGTCCACCAGTTGAGACCAAGAGAAATGCATGCATCACTCGAAATGATGGCCTGGAAAGTACTTTTTTGATTATCGAAGACCCACGTTGGGATAGATTGACGTCTAAATGTTTCTTGCAATGCCTCAGATCAGGTATATGTAGTAATGTAATTGTTATAAAAGTGTTATCGCGTGGCTTGAGKAGTTCAATACCAAACATTCTCCATTATCATTATCTTGATTTCAAATTATCTGTTCGTTGCCGGTAGACAGGATCAATGGTACACTTTTCACGCTGACTTTTAACTATTGCAGTGTTTTGTAAGCGAATCATGACATTGAAAAAACCTATCAAGTGTCCAAAAACCAATGTATGCTATGAATGTTTTCTAGGCGGACTACTGGATCCAAATATTTGAAATATTTCCACCTTTGATCGTGGTTCGAGCAGACTTTGTTGCTTTCGTGGCATTATTATTTGCTTTTCTTATATTTCACGTACATGTACCTTCAATACAATTCTCACACTACATTGAWATATGACAATCTGTTGTGAACAAGGGAAGCTTTAATTTCAAACGACAGTGCACTGTCAACTCAATGAACAACACTTGGACATTCAATGTGCATAAAAATCGAAGCATTGCTGTAAAGGGAAACTGCAGACTTTCTATTCAGACAYATGATGAATGGCAAGAGGATAATGTTAGTACAAAGTACACTAGACATGCAACTGCTTATCAAGTGTATTGTACATGTAGTGGTATCTTGACGTTGTATGAAGTCATTTTGATACTTCATGCAAATATTATTTGATATATTTTTTAAAACCTTTGAAGAAAACCAGATTACATTGTTCTGATGATTGTTCTGGAGATTCTTTTAGAAGCAAGACTTTGAATGTCCATTTATTGAAGAAGCTTTATTAGTGAGGTCAAACCTTAATCATAKATAAATTGACAAAATACAGTGAGGATTTGTTACTTATAGTTCTTTTACTAATGTCAACATACTGTGTGACAATGCACAGCAGAATAATATTACACAGTGAATACTGTTGTCTTTTCAGAGTGTAGCCAATTTTCAATCTTTTTTATAACAGGTGTCTGGATAGATTATATTACACTTGAAATTTGATAAACAAAAGTTATTAACAACTTAAGGCTGTTGCCAGAATAGCATGAATTGATGATGTCAATAGTGTTTGCATATCTACATGTAGAAGCAAGGTGCTTATGTAAGGTGCTTAAGCTCAGAGATATTGCACTGTATCAAGTCACTGAGCTACAAGAGAGTTGCTATTGCATGGGTGTTTTTGCACTTTTGTATTTAATTAAAWCTGACAGATTTGTTTTATAATTTATAGTATACTCAATATGTTTAATAAATGATTGTCAMTGTGACAAGTTTAATAAATTATACAGCATAGTAAAAAATAGCAAATTATATTTATTACATATTTGATATGTACATTATCCAGGGTCTTATACATTGTTATTAGAAAAATTGAATGTTTCAACACAATTGTGTATGCCATCAATTGTAACTGCTGGTTGCACATGTATGCTTTATGTTTGTTTGGGTTGATGATCATATCGATATTGTTGTGTGTCTGCATGTGGTGTTTAGGGTGGTAAATGTGAAGTCTTAATTGCAAAGTGGCTAAGATACATGTATTAACTATTTAAAAAAATGTTTTACAAAGTTTATTTATATCCCACCAAGATGTACATAAATACATACTATCAATACTATCAATATTATCAATAATAATGCTTCTGTAAATCTGTTTGTTCCAAGAACGAGAATACTTTCAAATCCAAACTTTTATATTTAGTACTATAAAGATGTCTGTCATTATTAATTTTAATTTTTTTTACAGATCCCAAGATGACATTGAGGCTTACCGCTATTCAGCCCACCTTTACGGCAAAGATGAAGAATTAAGAAGAAGTACGGGGTCTATATATGGGGCTGAAAGCCCAACCAAGACAAAGTCCCCTCCAGGAATGCATGTCAGAAGTAGTAGTGACACCAGTGAGATCAATTTTGCACTGYTGAAAAATAGCTATGAGAACTCKATTACTGAACCACGTTCTCCAACTGGAGAGAGTTTCTTTGCAATTGTTCAGAGGTTTGAACAAAACATCAAGAATGAAAATAAGAGACCTTTTATCAGGAAAGGCGGTGTTCAAGTTGATGGCTCRACGTTTATAGAAAATCTCCGTGAATATCATAACTATGGTTCTGCTGGCAGTAGCCCTACCATTGAGAAAAAGACTCCAATTTTACGRCGGAAGAATTCTCTTCGTTCAAATACTACTTCATTTTTTAGAATAAAGAAAAATTATGAYAATAARGATGATTCTGAATCAATGGACTCRACACCAACACGGAAATATCTGGCACACTACGATTGCCAAAGYTTGTGTGTAAATTATGATGAACAAGCTCAACTGCGTGCTCGYTTTGGTGATGGCATGAAGCGYAAAAACACTCGCTCTGGAGCTTCTGCAGCCTCAGCAAAGATARCAGCAGCTCAGCGTGCTGATCAGCTGGGTTCTAATTCAAGTCTGGATAAAGTAGATGAAGTAGCTGATTATGGTGACAATAAATCCAGTGAACTTGTTCAGAGTTGTCCTTATTTTAGGAATGAGCTTGGCGGTGAGGATGATATGGATCCACAAATTAGTTTGACAAGAGATAACACAGCCTTTCAAAATCCACATGATTCATCTACACCTAATAAGAAYGGCACTGTAAACACTCTAAAACGAAGGTCAACATTGGATATTTTATTAACAGCATATGATTCAGCAAGAAGAGGAAATCTCAGAAGTGGTACCGGAGTCACCATTCTTGACAATTCCAAACCAGAAAGTGGCTCACTTTACTTGGGTGAAGGTGGCAGCTGGTCAGATGATGAAGGGAAAATTGTGTTTGAGCATGCTGATCATGGAGCTTACTATTATAGAAATTTCTTTGTAGGACAAGGTAAGACAAAGTTTATTTSTTCAGTGTTTTTGTAGTATWGCATACAAATGTAATGCCAAACTTGGCACAAGTGSTGTTGGTTTGCAATAAGGCAGATTTACATSAAAATAATMTTTAGRTAAGACTGTGCATTTTTCTYCATGCTTGTAAAATGCTGTAAATCTTGRCTGCCATTTGCCAGTTAAATTAAGTAATAKTTTGYTTCATTTGAGTCTCATGGTAGACAATCATGAGACATGGCAGAGTGGTTTATCAAGCATTGGTAATTGAATACTAGTGGTTATGCTGTCACATTTATTTATTTCATGTCATTCAAGCTCATGAACATGCAGTTAAATTACATGTAACTACATATGATATCAAATACAACTTGAATTAACTCATTTCATATTAAGGACCTTTTCATACAAATATTGTTTGTTTTGTGCATGGTCTGATTTTATTCTTTTTTCCATCATCCAGAACATCTCACCTATCTTGGAAGTGATGAAAAGCTTGGACCCATTGCTATTTCYTTAAAACGTGAAAAGCTTGATGAAAACACGTCATTGGTAAAGAAYGATACTGATGTTCAAGGAACTCAGTACCAGTACCGCATAATCATAAGAACATCTCATGTAAGTCAATCAGTTCCCAATATTATGCCAAAAGCGTAGACTGGAATGACRTGTGTCAGTCATRCTCATGTGTGCCAAACWATATTGTTGGCAAACATCTTGAATAAGAACATCAATATGATAAAAGAGAGTGAACACAATTTCAGAAATTACATAAACTAAAATACATAAACTAAATAGTACATTTAATGTTTATGTTTAGCTCACAACTCTGAGAGGAAATGTTCTAGAAGAAGCTGTACCATCCACATCTCGCCATGGTACAGCAAGAGCTCTTCCTGCTAAAGATATTTTGGAGTATATCGCACCTGAAATACAGCTTCAATGCCTAAGGCAAGCTACTCAAGGGATCAAGGTTTGTTTTTTTATATTATCTGTGTACATRAATATAAAGTAAGGAATATTTCTTTTAAAGAATTGTGTCCCATAGTATTTTAAAAGAGACTTTTAAGGAAGCTGAGCTATTACATGCATATGCTTTATTGAAGTTTCCATAAAACTAAGTTGGTTAGGTACATGTAAGACGAGAGTATTTGGAAGAGATAGATAAACCTTGGTGAGATTAGGGTAACTGCATTCTGCCTTRCAGGGAGGGATTTTTGAAAGTCTGCCCATTAATAAGTATTTTAATTCTTGTCATAAWCACACTCGAAGCTACTGTGTTTACACAACTTCCRGCATTGTTGAATCATGTTATTAAACTTTGAAGAAATACGTACCATTTCATCTTGTGTGAACAATCAAAGATTAAATATGAGAACACATATTACATGTATATCTTCAATTTTTTCAGGTTCCAGAAATGTTAATGAAGCTTGATGAACAAGGGGTAGGTACTTTTATTCCTAAGCTTTGTAATATAGCTGAAGATCTAATTAAATATTACTGAATTAATAGATGACCAATCAGTACAAGGTGGGCATTCTGTATTGCAAAGCTGGTCAGTCTACTGAAGAAGAGATGTACAACAATCGTAAGTATTCCACACAAAAATATACTAACAACAAATCAAGTCTGTCTACTTTTTGCTATAAAAACTTTATATTGTTCTATGTATTATTAAATCTTTCAATGCTTTTTTGTAAACAGAGATTGCTGGTCCAGCTTTTGAGGAATTCTTGAATCTTATCGGGAACAAAGTTGCGTTGAAAGGATTTACTGGATATAAAGCACAACTAGATAATAGAAGTGAGTAGTTTAGTTGTTTTATTTCATTACAACAGGGCTCGAAATAACAGCCAGACATATGCAGGACAAGATGTCCTTCCAAATTCATTTTTGGAAGTTCATGTCAAGTTTTGAAACGACAATTTAATTTGGCTTGTAAAAGATTTATTTAGAGAATTGAGAATTCAATTTGACCTTTCAAAACCCGATTTGGCTGGTCATCTAGCGAATTTGGAAGGACATTGTCCTTTAACCAGCTGTTATTTTGAGCCCTGTTACAGTGGTGTATGTAAGACAGATTAAACCAAACAGCCGTTTGCTCAAACTCCATTTAATCAATACTAAAAGCGCATGCGCCAATCCCTGAAACAGGGAACCCGGTAACATAACATGGCGCAATGTACTACAGTGTACATAATGTTTGTGAATGCTTGATGATTGAATCTTATGTTTACTGTGGGATAGTAGGGAAAGGGAAGGGAGAGTAAAGGGAGGGTAAAGGAAGGGAGGATAAAATGCCTCTTTGTTTTTGCTCCCAGCTCCATATATCATTATTTGTAAGCTGTCATGCATTATAAAGTAAAAATTATAAAGTAAAAATTACAGACAAAATATATCAAAAAAAGGACGAAAATCCTTGATATTGCAGCATACTGCACCCTTAAATACCAGTGTGGATGTTAGTGCTTTTACCTGGCTGGTGTTACTTAAAAACAAAACAAATAAACCACAGAAGAAAAATCATCAGTAGGAAACATGGGCAAGGGAGGGTTATTATAGAAATTGCTTGGTAGTGACATGAAGGTATGTCTTGTACGGTGTAGATACATTTAAGTTGTTAATTTACTTGCAGATGATTCTACRGGAGAATACTCAGTTTACACTACTTTTCATAATCGAGAAATTATGTTTCACGTATCAACATTACTACCATGGACACCAAACAACAAACAACAAGTAAGTCTCATTTAAATAGACGAAGACGTTAACATTAGAGGCCAGTTGTACGAAGGGAAACTATGCTATTCACTGGATATACCCTTACCCAGTGAAATGAGATCCATGTAAAATCTATGGAGTTGACCACTTGCTCCTGGTGTTATTTCTTTATGCATCCATTAKAGCCTGCCATAAATGTGGTAATGAATGTGCTAGTAGACGTGCCATACAATAAGTCAAGCTACCTTTACATTTTAAGCAAGTGTGGAGTTCAATTTTGAAGGGAGACGTTTACTGTACTTGCCGTGGTCTCCATTGTATTAGCCTGAGTATCAGGCTCTCTCGAAGGGGTTTGGGGCGGAGCCCTAAACCCCTTTGAGAGAGCCTGATACTCAGGCTACCATTGTATCAGTGTACATACATGTTACACAGCACTGTGAATAGATATGCCATACAGAACATGAAGCTACCTTTGGATTCTAAGCAAGTGTAAAGTACAATTTTGAAGGGAGACTTGAACGAAAGTCTAAAAATGAACGTGTACTGTACTTGATGTGGTCTCCATTACGTGTAGATACATGTTATATGGCACTATGAATTAAATTTTGTGTTTCAAATTTTCTTTCAGCTTTTAAGGAAAAGGCACATTGGCAATGACATAGTAACTATAGTCTTCCAAGAACCCGGGGCTTTGCCATTTACTCCTAAGAACATCCGTTCTCATTTTCAACATGTCTTCATTGTAGTCCAAGTGTTTAATGCATGTACTGATTCTACATATTATAGGTAAATAATACTGCATTCTATTATTGAATGTTATTTGAAGGTTCAGGGAGGATTAATCAGTCATTTTTCTGTGTGTAGCAGTTGTATGCTTCATTTGACATTTTGATACATTACTTCTTCGATACCATCAAAAATAAATATTGAGAGCCCACTGAACACGTACATTGTACAACCACYTATTACTGTTTGGCTGGTAAATAGGGATTTTTTTTRWTKKKT